AACCTGACGGGCTCTATCCACCACTGTTCAAGACCATTCAAAGAAGTGAGAAAAGCTTCTCTGCTGGCAACGGAGACTATTAAAAAAAAATACAAATTCAAAAATGGTCATTTATGCGATTTATAATATGTAAATCATCAATAGACAACAGAATATAATATACATATTGCATGCTAGTAGAGTGAGACTTCGGCAGCAACCGCGACTGAAATGAAAACGATGGTAGAGAACTTATAGATAAGAACAGCTCCAAAGACTGATTTGTGACGTTGGAAGCTTTCAAAAAAGCAAATATCTAATTTTTTTTTTGTGTCGCGGTAGTTCAGCCAATCAGCTTACATCTGTACATATTACTGGCTATTGAACAATAGATCATTTTTAATAATCGTAAAGTTTATATTCTCTCTTATCGATTATTCTTTCTTTTTTTCAAAACACTTGAATATATTTTAAAAAAAACAACAACAAATAACAACATAGTTTGTATTTAACATGCATTTCGATGCCATTCATGAACATTAGTATAAAAACTATGATCTTGAAATTCTTGCATATTAAGTCTCATACATAATTCACACATACGAATTGGTTCAAGAACATTTATATCATAAAAAACATCATATTGATTTAACCATTGAAAATATTTTCTATAAATAATATAATTATTTGTAATTTGATGTAAATGATTTGCAAGTTCTTTAGCTGATTGATAATCATCAATATGTATAAATGCTGTTTGTGGTACACCTAAATCTAAATAGGATTGTTTCGATGGTCCTAAAACAATTGGTATCATTCCATAATAAAGTGCACGCCAAAATTTTTCTGTTATATAATCTGTACATGTTTGAGATTCAAATGCTAAATAAAAAAGTGCTAAATTAGATTGTTTATATTCACAATTATCATTTTTATCACATTTCTTTTCAACACATAAACCATATGCATTAATTGAATAAAATTTTTTTAATTCATTATAATATTTAAGACGATATTGTGGTTGACAATTTGAAACAAACCAAAGTGCATGTTTATAACGATAACGATAATTGTATAAAATATGATTTTCTAATGCTATATTAGTTACTTCAATATGATGATCTTTTAAAATTTCAAATAATTCTGAATTATTATATAAATTATCATTTGTTAATATTTGTTTTTCATCTTTTTCAATTAAAATTCCATATGTACCAATTGAAATTTCTGAATCTTGTCGAAAACTTAATGTCCAATTAAATTGATATTGATTTAAATGTTCAATTTGACGATTTGCTTCATCAATCCATAATATCCATATATCATTATATGAACGATGTTGAAGTTTTTCATTCATTTCATCTTGTTTTATATCAACATGATGAAATATACTTGCACGACGAATATTTTTATCATTAATTAATGGTTTATCACAATTCCATTGACAATTTGAATATGGACATTGAGGATGAAATATACTTTTTGATGAACAAAATTTTGGACGATCAAATACCTGTAAATAATAAATGATTTGTGTAGAATATAAATTAAGATTATTGAATATTTTATCGAGCGTGAGTCTCTTCCGGAGTTTATGAATATTGTACTAGATACTATGTACCTGTACTTCCAATAATTAGCGTTGGTCTTCTCGGAATTTTAAATTGTCCGTCAGGAAGAGGAAATTTGAATAAAACACTGAATCGAATTTCAAAACAAATTTTAGCAGTATCATATTCAAGGAAGAATAGTTCTGTCTAGCGGTAGATTCGATAGTCCGATATCTTTTCTATAACTATGATTAGTAGTAGCTCTTGACAGAAGACCGGTCTGACGTAGAGTTCTTGCGATCAATAGCCTAAACTTCCCATACGCACTAACGCATATGTCAGTAATGTAGTCAACATGCTATCGAACGGGCGATCCAAGACAAATAGCTATTCCATGGCTCGTGGTACTGAGATTTGCATACGGTACCTTATGGATGCGTGCCGAACAACGTAGTCACTCAATCAAAATCGCTATTATATTGAAGATCCATACAGAGCAGATCTTTCTAAGTTAAAAAACCACATGCTAGCCTAGTCTATGGGAAAATGCCCACTTTGCGAGCGGAGAGAGCGACTTCCAAAATTTTCGTTTTTAAAATCAGTCTCCTGAATTACTGACTGTCACCTCACTCCTGTTGTGCCTATGAACTTCACTCCTTCATGAAGACAAATAAGAGCTCTTCAGTGTTAGTTAGTACTTTTATTAAACCGAACTCTCAAAATCTTCGTTGCGATTATTCTTTGTATGCAAAATTTTCCTAATGATAATTTCTAAAAATGCTGAGAA